GTGTGAGCCCAGGGTTATCTCCAAGGAGAAAACAGCCTTCTGTGAGCTGGCGAGTACACTGATGTTGTCTCTAGCAGGAAAAATGTCCTGAAATACCCCCATGCGTTCCCTAACTTAAGTCCAACAGTGCATTTTGTGGCAGCAAATAAAAGTAAACATTTACCCAAGGGCACTGAGGCGAGAGGAGAAAATGGTTTCCCGGAAAGAAAGGTGGCGGGTGTTTCTTTAGAATAGTGGTTCGCAACCAGGGGTGATTTGTTCTCTCAGTGGACACCTTGCGACGTCTGGAGATATTTTGGTTGTCACAACTCTGATGGCGGTGGTGATGGTGCTACTAGCACCTAGTGGTAGAGGCCAGGGATGCTGCTAAACACCCCACAACAGACCTTCCCCAACAACACAAGATTACCTGGCCCCTAATGTCAGTAATGCTGGGGTTGAGAAACCCTGGTCTACAGAGGATTTTTTTTTTTTATCCTTGCTGCTGCAACTGTTTTTCTATTTGCGGAGAAGGACTCCCAGAGTCTAAGTGTCCCACTGGGTCTCGGGAATTGGGTATCAGGTCATGCCCCTACACCTAAAACCCCCTGACCTGGATAGAATGTAATGTGCTAGAATGTGCGAGAAGCAAGATGAATCAGTCACTGGATCCATTTTCAGTTTCCTCCTTCCTTCCACAGATCCGTTCCTTTGCTGGCGCGTCAGAAGCAATTGCTTCAGAGCTGCCACCAATGGAAGAGTGACAGGAGCCCGGCAACAATGCCAGATTGGCAGGCAGACATGAGCACGTGATGGACTGAACTCACAAAGGGCCTGGGTGTTGGGGTGTTGGGCTGCTGGGGGGCAGGGCGGGCCGGGATTGGACGGGAGCCTGTTTGTCTGCTTTTCTTCCTTACCCCAAAGGATTCAGTTCCCCCTGAAGGTCACAACCTTGTATGGGACTTAACTTAGCATCAGGAGAATGTCCGAGAACCAGACAACCGGCAAATATTTTCCCCCAAGAGAATGGGTGAAATCGGAGAGCTGGATGGCAAAGGCTGGCCTTGCTTTGTCACTGGTTATATAACCATAAAAGGTAGTCAAGAGAATCTGTAGCTCAGGGGAAGAACAAAACAAACGACAGCCCAAGGGACTCTGTTCTTTTTCCTGGGTACATTTGATCATTTGCATCGTAACACAAGCTGCGCCAGCTTAAAAATAACCAATTTCCTCCTCTAACTTAGAGGGGCTTTTTTGTTGTTTACAATTGTGGCAAAACACACGTAGCATAAAATTGACCATCTTAACCATTTTTACGTGTACAGTTCAGTAGTGTTGAGTGTATTGTAGGGGAGGAAAAACAATTTTCCCTTTACCCTCCTGAGTTCTTAGCTGAGAAACCTGTAATGAAAGACAGAGTAACCGGAAGAAAAAACCCCAGGAGTTTATTCACGTATCTTACCTCATGTATCCATGGGAGATACCAAAGGAAACGAGTAACTCAAGAGGTGGCTTTAGAGTTTAGACTTGAATACCACATGGAAGGGGTAGGAGCATATAGGCCTCTTGGGAGAGAGTAAATGATTTTTAGGAAAGACAAATGGGAAAACAAGAATAGCAGGGAGATATGATAGTTTGTGACAAAGTTTGGTGTCCACTCCTCGTCTCCCTCCTGTGATGAGTCCGTCTTCCCTGGCCGGTGAACCGCCCGGAGAGGGGAATGTATGACCATGGAGTCCCTTTTGAAGGGTCTCGCTTTAGGCAGATAAGGGGATTCAGTGAAAGACTCTCCCTGCATTTGCTGTTTTTCAAGTGCCTTCAGCTGAAAATAATATCAAAGGGGCATATTTTGGGGTGGCACACACTCTGCTACCCTTCGACATTCACGTTATTGAGCAACCCTCACCATCATCCGTTTCCAGAACTCTCTTCATCTTGCAAAACAGAAACTCTATACCTATTAAACTCCTCTGCAGCCTCCCAGCCTGTGGCAACCACCACACTGTCTCTGTGAATTTGACTACTCTAAGTACCTCATATAATGGGCTTTGTTTTTTCAGAGGTAAAATAAAATAAAACTCACCACTTTTATAGGAAGACCTATTTCCCAACACGAGCCTCAAGTTATTTTTTCCTTATTAATACAGGAGATGGCCATGAGGACTATTTTTACAGAAGAAGGAACTAGGCGGCTGGATGCCAAGCCTGCTGCCTCTGTGGCACCGGATGCAGAGCTCGGCAGACATTAATCAGCCACACAGAACAGACCCTCCGGAGCCTGCTGAGCAAAGATACTCCATTATGGCCATTCTGGTAATTAAACCTATTACAGACTAGCCACAGGCTGTACCTCACACAAGTTAAAGATAAATCTGCCCCTATTGTTCTGGTACCCTGCAGAAGTTCCCCATACCAAGAAGTTTTCCATGGAAAAGAGAAACATCTATAAACCCTAGTCTGGTGGATGGAGGGGGTCTCTCTTCTGCTAGTGATTCGAGATTGCCACTCTGTCTGTGGAATGGGCTTTCTTTTATTTACTCTCTGCTAAATAAACTTACTTTGACTTTGAACTCTGTATCAGCTCACATTTGAATTCTTTCCTGTGTGAAGCCAAGGATCCTCTTTTCCTGTAACATTATGGTATTCCCCCCTCCCATTATTGTGCTTTTAGAAATATTTAATTATAAATACAAAGTAAAACAGAAGCATATAATTAGTTTTGGGTTAGGCCTGATAATCTGAGAAGTAACTTCAGGGTTTTTTTTGTTTGTTTCTTTTTTTCTTAAAACCCTGTTGACCTTTAGGGAGAAGTAACCTTCACGGAAGCTCATTACAAACAGGCGCTGTCCCCAACACTCCAAGTGGTGAATCATTTCACGAATTTCAGTTTCATCTCAAAAATGAGGGCTTTGCAGAGAGTCAGGTCCCTCTAGATCCGAGATGTTTTTATGGTTTAAAACATGAGGTCAACACTGCACTGTACACCTGAAGCTGAAGCTGAATAATAATGAATGTCAACTATAATTTTTATATATATATATATATATATATATATATATATATATATACACACACACACATATATATATATATATATATATATATATATATATATATATATAGTCACAGGATGTGGAGCACAGCGTAAGGAATACAGTCAGTGGAGCTGTAACAGCTATATAAGATCTCAGAGGGGTAGCAGATTGGGGGAGAGTGGTTATCACTTTGTGAGGGGTATAAATGTCTAACTATTACATTGTTTTGTACACCTGAAGGTTATTAAAAAAAAAACGAAACAAAACATGAGGTCAAGTGAAACGAGGCAGGAGTTGATGGACGAGGAATGTCAGTATTACTGCAGACAAAGAACTGAACCCACAGGATGCAAGAGGAACCCTTCTTTCAATAAAATATACTAGCTTTTATTTTTAATGATAAAATACAGTGTATAAATATAAACAGTATGCGCACCACAGCTATTCATTCATTCTTTCTTTCATTCATTCATTCATTCATGACCGTTTGCTGATCAAGCAGGGAGCAAAACGCTTGTTGCCCCAGTTTCCTTCTGGGTGGCTTGCTCTGAAGATGGTGGTTCCTGACAGCACACAGGGCAAGGCCAGCACAGACGCTCATACCTCTGACTTACACATTCACCCTCCCATGGCCAGGAATAGATCAGCGGAATGAGTCACCAGCCTTTCCTGGCATGCCAGGAAATGCACCGTAACTCCCCAAATAATCATTCTGCTCACTTTTGCTGTGGTTTCAATCACCATGTCAGGTTTTGCTTTTACATACTTCGCCTAACTTCTAGCAAAAGTGCATTTGGGGTGTTACGGGTTTCAGGAAGCACAGGTCCCTCCTATTGTGAAAACCCCACCTCCAAGTAGGGATGGAGGAGTTTACACATTTGTTAGAATCGCAAACGTGGCGCTCTGACGATGAAGAACTTGAACAAAAATATGAATGAGAGAGGGAACGCATGGTGGAGATGCCAGGGATCAAACCCAGGGCCTCATGCATGCAGGGCATGCACTCTACCACTGAGCTACACCCCCTACCCCCGGTGTCCTCCTATCCTGAAATTCTCTGCTACATTAATCTGAAGATTGTTTCCTCCCCTCCCCCCCGCCTAAATTTCATATATTTCAATGAGTGTTAGAGTCTAGAACAAGCAAACCAAAATACATCATTTTATTTCTCCCCAAAATAACTTCTTTAAAAGCTTACAGCTGAAATTCTGACACGGGAACCAAGGAACAAAGGGAAACAGATCTATGTATTCTTCTTACGGTGGAGGTGCCGGAGAATGAATCTTTAAAAAAAAAAAAAATATTGGGGTAACATTGGTTAATAACATGACATAAATTTCCACTTCCTTCTTGAAACAGTTTCTTTACTTGGCTTTCAGGACACGACTATCTCTTAGGAGTCTTCTCAAATTTATGGATATGCTTCTCAATTTTCACTCCTGGGCCCTCTTCTTTCTAATCTCAAACACTGGCGTAGTCTAGGACCCAGTTCTTAGGTATCTTCTCTATCGATCTCACTGTTCAACTGATCTTATCTTGCTTATGGTTTTAATTACCATTATAACGGATGCTTGCCGATCTGCTATGCTTCCCCTAGAAAGGGCTTCATTCTAGATGTGTCTAGTGTAGTGGGTCACAATCCAGAGCTTCCAAAAGCTCTGGAAGCAAGTTTCTTGCATTCAAGGTTCCATTCTGCCATTTAGTAACAATGTGGCCTTGAGCAAGTTAATATGATGTGTCCCAGTCTCATCTGTTCAAATGGGGTTAAGAATAGTGAACCCACAGGGATACTGGGAGAACTGAGTGAGTGAATAAAATGTAAAGTGCTTGGAACAGTGCCCAGCATATTAATTCTTCCAGGTGCTTAAAGAAACAACTGGGAGCATTCGAATTTCTCTCCCTGCTGCCGACAGCCAACGCTATCAGCAAATTTTCAGTTCTGCCTTCAGAACACATCTGGAATCTTATATCTTCTTGCCATTTCTATTAATAATACCTTAGTCTAAATCTACGTCATCATCTCAGGTGGTTCTCTCTCGTCCCGTTGATCTCAGGAGGCTGATAACTGACCTCACTAGAGTCTACTCACCCCCTTAAAATTAGTTTTCAATACAGCAGCTGGATTTACTATATGAAGTTGTAAGTAAAATTATTCACCTGATCTACTCGAAACCTCTAATGGTTTTATATTCATTCAGAGTACCCTTACAATGGCCCCAAGGCTGTACATGATTGTGCCATGGTCCACTGAGGCTCTTAACTCCTGCAATTGACTCCATCAATTACTCCTCTCTGATCATGCTGGTCTCCAGAAGGTTCCTCACATATTCCAAGTAGAGTCCCACCCAAGAGCCTCTGTAGTAACCAAAAAAGCCTCTTATTTATAAGGCTCCATACTTCCTTTACCCTACGTCAGTCTTCTCCTTAGCACTGACCCGAAACAGACCAATTCTTGAATGCTGCTTCTCACAAACAGAAAAGAAAGGAAGGAAAACGTGAGAATGTCTTTCCAACAGAAAGGGGCATTGCACCCATCACACTTCCACTCAGAAATCTCTGGCTTCCTGTCTTCTGACACCATTCCAACATTCGGTGACTTTGAGGTTTGCACATCTGCTTGAAGACTTTTTTTTTCCCTCCCAGAAGAACTCTTGTGAATATAAAATAAAAATAAGCAAACTAAAAAGAAACAGGTCCAGCTCCAAGAATCAGGGGAAGGAATCTCTTTGCAATAGCCCACTGAAAAGAATCATTCTTTAACTGTCAGTGAGCCCGTCTTTTTTCCAGAGTGCTTTCGAAGCACACCAGGTGGGAGAAGTCACAATGTGTCCTGTTTTTTTGGGTCATCAAGGGGCCACTCGGTGGTGAAGGAACAGATGAAAGGCAAGGAGAGGGCAGAACACTGAGGCTATACCCTCTCCCACCAGCGCTTGAGATTTCCGGGCAAGAAAATATTCACTTACTATGATGGGGACACACCCAAAAATGTCCTGCCACCTTGGTCCCCAGTCAGCTCCCTTACATTACAGCCTACGGGTGCCTGAAATTTCACAGCTAGAGGCCTCCATGGGCTGGTGCACAGGACACTGGACCCAGCAGCAGTGGCTTCATGACTGCACCTCTCAGGGCCTTTTGTGTAAAATGAAGATCAGGCTAGCACCTACTTCCCAGGGTGGCTGTGACTATTGAACTAGCGACATGTAGAAGGTTTAGAACAATGCGTGGTACAAGGTGCGAGCTCTGAAACATGAGGTCTGTTATTATAAATATGCTGTCGTTAGATGAACTCTGGTGAAGGGTTTTTGCTTCTCCTATTCATCCCAGGCCGGAACTGATGCTTTGCTGATGCTGTTTTGCTGAAACAGAGGGGACAGACAACAGGGCACGGGGGGAGGGGCGGAAGGCAGCGCCTAGGTAAGCCATCCACTGTCCTTATTGCTCTCGCTCAAGGGGGCAGTCAAGAGGGAGACCTTGGCTGGAACAGAAGGATGGTGCTATATAAATGGCCGTATTTTGGACATGGTTTGGGAGGAGCTAAGAGACTGTATTCAGATTAGTAGATGTCCCTGTTTGCTCTCTTGCCAGATTGCTCTGCTCAAAACCAACTCCATTATGCCTTCTCTCTGCATAATCCAATCCATACTCCTTAGAATTCAATCCATACTCCTTACTCTGGTCTTTAAGACCTTGTGTGATCTGACCTGTGGATCTTGCTAATGCTATCCCTTACTCCTCTCCTTCTCCCTCAAGGATGCCAGGTTCCTCCTACCTCAGGGCCTTTGCACTTGCCATTCCCTCTGCCTAGAATGCTGTTCCCCAGATTTTCTCATGATTGGCTCCTCACTGTCCAGGTCCTCCTGTCTACCTCTCGCACATTCCCTATCCCACCCTTCTGCTTTGCTTTGTTTTCCTTCATAGCATCATCCATCCCTCTGGAAACCTGCTTTATACTATTTGTCTGTGTCCCTCACTGGGTGGGAAGGTCAGAAGGGCAGGGTCTTGTCTGTCTTGTTTCCTGCTACATCCCAGTGCCTAGAATGGGGCAGGGCACATAATAAGTACTCAGTAAATATCTGTGGAATGAATGAGGAAAAATAAACGAATGAAAGAATAGGAGCCTGGGACGGATGATGGCTATATTCAGGAAGTCTGCAACTGAGTGAAGACCAGAAAACCTTTCAGTTTAGAGTTACCCTCCCTCCTCTCTCAAATTCATAAACATTTTCTGAGGGCCCGTCTCTGGGCCAGAGCAGGACATACGAAGATAGAATGTTTGCAGCAGTGTGAACAATTCCTGGCCTTAGAAGTTGGCAGTCTTGTTCTGGGAAAGGATTACATAAACCAAACACTTTGCATCGGCGCTGTGGGCAAGCAGGAAGCGGAAAATAACGCATCAGTCTGAGAATGCTTTGTTCTTCCTCTTAACCAGGTGACACTAGGGAGCTAGAGCATTCCTGGGACGAAGTGGTGCATAGACAACCCACCAGATCGCCATAAACTAAACCGTCAAGTTTATTCTTCCAGAGAAGAGTAAGGCATTTCTAGGGCAGTTGAAATATTTTATTTATTTAAGAGAAATGAAAAACATACTAAAACGATAAAAGAATGCGCAGCCTCCCCGTCGGGGAATCGAACCCCGGTCTCCCGCGTGACAGGCGGGGATACTCACCACTATACTAACGAGGACGAGCTATGCCAGCGCCCCTGCCGATAGAACCATATAGAGACGTCATTCTTTGGCTCCTGCATCCGCCTAGTCCCGGCCGGGCCCCCCCAGGCGCAGTGCCTGGTCAGTGGGCTTCGCTGGGGTCGCGGAGACACCTGCTTGAATCGATGGAACCGATGAACCCCAAAAACATACCAAGTGGAGAAAATTGTAATTTCCTATACGGGCAGCTGCAGAGCAAAGGGGATGTAGCTCAGTGGTAGAGCGCATGCTTTGCATGTATGAGGCCCCGGGTTCAATCCCCGGCATCTCCACCCGTTGAGCTCGCAAGGGCTCGTTTTTTAAATTCTTTTTTGTTAGTTTCAGGTGTACAGAACAATGCAATAGTTACCCTTTTCACCCTCACAAAGTAACAACCCCCCTCCCCCCATCTATTGCCCTCCCACCCCNGGTCTTCACGAAGATCTGCATTGTCTGGTAGAACAACAAAAGGAACCCAGGTTTTAACAGGCAATTCACCCGTTAACACGTTCCTAATACTACTAAAAGTTAAACATCCTTTACAGCGGCCCAATAACCAAAACAAAAAAACTTGCCTGAGAAACCTCAGGAAATGAAACAGGGCCGCCTTGATCCTACAGGTTCAAAACCCAAGCGTCAGGCACTTACGGGAGACCAACGCACAGAATCCGCACCTTAGTAAACTCGGGGGGCCTCGCTTATCTCCCCCAGGCCCCACTGGACGGTGTTTCCTGTCTCTCCTGGGTCCCGCGACTTATCAAAGCCTACCCCGCCCCCAAACCGGCAGGGGGCCCCACCCTGGATGGTGAGCCAACAGAAAGGGTGACGTCACGTTACCACCCAACGCACTGAGCGCCCCCAACAGGGCGGGCGCAGGATCGCTCCGAGTGCCGTCGGGGCTTCGGCCTAGTGAACGCTCCTTCACCGCGCGGAGGAACCCACCGCTCGCACCATCCGGCCGTTAAAACGGGCCTCACGCTCCGTTCCCTCAACACCCAACACGCCGCACTCTCCCGTCGCCGAGGGCCTCGGAGGCCTCAGGCCTGTTACCTCTCCCCTCACAATCTCACTCGTCTTCTCTCCAACCTCACAGCCCGCTTCGTAATCAGCCTCCCCCGCAACTTAAGGTCGGACCCGGCCGCCATTTTGCTGCGTTTCTTCCCCGCAGGGCCGCCCTGCTCGCGGGCCCCGAGCGACTAAGGGCCCCAGCTGCCCTCCGAACCTCGTCGGCCAACTCTGCCTCCCACCCTGCCCGCGACGGGACGACCACAAAACCCCGGGACCAGCGTAGCAACCCCTCCTCACCAAGCGGCGGTGACAGCAACGCACGTAATAAGAG